CTGTCCTTGTGCTTGGGATTGCCAGTTGGTCGGCCCTACCCTGAAGGGATTTAAAAATAGATGTGTAGTGGTAAGCAACTGCTTTGAAACTTGCCAAAATACTGTACTGTGCACACCGAGAGCTCGTGAACCATTCCCTGGAGCCAAGGAGTGAACTGTTGTGGGATATGTGCTTGCTGGAATAAGAACTTGATGTGTCTGGTCCTGGGGAGACGCCGTGGTTTGCTGTGCCCAGTTCTTGTGTTGGTATCGTGAAGGGGGTGTGATAAATGCTGATGCTCGTAGGCAGGTTTTTCCTGCAACAAGAAGAATCAGTTCCTTAATTTGTAATTGAGTCCTGGTGATGAGCTGCCTTTTTACATGGCAGTGCAATGCGATTGTGCGCGCTGCCTTATCTTACTGAGCAAATGTGTAATGGGATCCTGGGGCTGGCAGCCAGATCCAGATGCGAGCTGGAAATCAAACGCGCGTTAGCACCAGGAGTCGCTTACCCGCGGGGGCAGAGTGTCAGGGGGGAGGCAGCAACTCTGCTGGCTGTATCTCAGTCAAGGGCTTTCTGCCTTCTCTTTGCTGTCCTGAAGCCCACCCCTTCCTTTCAAAAGTAGCCTGTAAATCTTACTGGGAGCACTGGGGAGCTGGGAACAATCGCATTGCTTTGCTGTGAACATGGTGGACTTTGTTAGTGTTTTTGATAATAAGAAACTGGTTTTGGTTTCTTTATTCAGACCTTACTTTGAAGGACTGTCACACTCCAGCTCTCAGACGGAAATCGGTAGCATCCACAGCATCAGGAGTCAGAGAGAGCCATCAAGTCCTGTAAGTCGTGTCTCAAGAAGGGTGTCTGTCTGCGGGTCATGAAGCAGACCTGCGCCGTCTCTGCATGCATGTCTGAACTCAAACACCCTCTCTGGCGTCCTCCAAAGCTTGGATGCAGAGATACAAATTTTCTACTAAGAAAACATGGTTGGGGGGTGGTTTGGCTTGTTATTATTGTTGGTGTTTGGGTTTATGTTTGTTAAAGCGAATATTGCGTTAACCCCAGGGGACATCTTCAGGTTACGTATCGAATACTGGCCAACGGTATGAATGGCTTCAGGTTCCCATGGACTTGAAATGACTGCCAGGATGGGAGATGTTGCCTGGGAGTTGTAGGGACCCCTTGGCACTGCTCTGGGGGAAGCTTTACCTTACTGGCGTTGGGATACTGTTCATGGTGGCTGGGAGCAAGTGCTGAGGGGCAGCTCACCCTCTTTTCCATACCCTCATGCGTCGGCATATTAGGTGCATAGGATATCAGTCCCTATTCCAGGGCACTTCCTTTCCTCTACAGTGTGTCCTACATCAGGTTTGCCGCATCCCACGCTAACGTGTTCGCTCCTGGTGCGCCCAGGAAGCACTCCTGCTCATCCTGCGGAGCTGTGCGATGTTTAAATGGAGACGTGTGTCTTTTGAAGATCCTGATGCAGAGAGCGTGGCTGAAAACTCTGCTGGTGCCACACCTCCTAATGCTCTTTCTCCTTCAAGCAGGTAGAAGTGCCTGAAAAGACGAAGAGTCTTGGAACCAAACACGTAGGCGACAGTATTTCTGACACCGTGTCTTACGTAAGTTGGGAAGGCGCTCGTTAACGCTCTCGGTGGCAGTCTGGGTGTCGGCTGCGTTCTGCGGCTGCGTAGTCGCACGTGCAGCGCGCCCTACGTGGGTAACGTTAGCTGCAGCCAAGGTAGCGCTGAGCTCCCCTCCTGACCTTAGCCGTTGGAGGTTCTGTCAGCCTTTGGAAGCTGAAATGCTGTATGTGGCCGCCTGTTTAAACAGCCTTTCGCCTCGTCTGAGGGAGGCTGGCCCAAAATCTGCTACTGAGCACGTGTAGAGTCCTGAAAAGTATTCTCGGGGCTGTTGTGTTTGATCAGACGGAAGTATGACTTCAAGTGGAACTGACAGAAATCCAGCTGTTGCTGGGATAAGAATCCCAAAGCTCAAGTCGTTCTGCTGGGGACATGCCGGTTGTAACGCTTCCCCCATGTCTGTCTCGCTCTGTGAGTTCGTCTGGGTCAGCGGAGTTGGTCTGCGCTGCGTGGGGAGGTACGTCCCTTGTTTGAGCTGGGGAGTGCCTATTCCGAACAGCGTACCTGAGCGCCTTTCCCAGCCCCAGCTCCCTTCTGAGGCAGAGCTGGGACCTGGTAGCCCAGAGAAGCCACTATTGGCGTCTCCCTTTCGGCAGTGAGTGGCGTGTCTGGAAGAAGCAGGCTGGGTGCGCCCCAGGCAGAGCCAAGCTGGGATGCCTCCTGCCAGCCCTTGTGTAGCGAGACAGGGCGGAGGGTTTTTCCTGACGACTCGATTCCTTGTGTTTTTGCAGGAGTCTAACCAGCAAGCCGAGGTCCAGGAAGCTGAGCTTCCCACGCCGGATGTGTTTGTCGAAAAGCTCCCACCCAGCGGGAAGATCACCAAGACCGAGTCCCTCATTATCCCATCCACCAGGTAGAGCGGTGACACGGCACCGCGGGGCTGCTCGGGCGGTCGTGGCAGCGTGCTGGCCCTCGGGCAGGATGGCCTTGAGCCGCTGGCTGCGAGGAGACCTTCCCTGTGTCCAGGCACTGAGGTGACGAGTCCTGACCGCTTGATAAATGAATGCTCAGGACCCTGAGGGGCAGCACTGCTCTGAGGTTGCTTCTGTCTCCCGTGTTGTACCCGCTCCACGTCCAAGGAAGGTTTTATAAAACGCTGCAGCTGCTTGCTCAAAGATACTGGTGCTGAGTCAGTCCGATGCAGATTTTGGCCTTAAAGGTGGTTATCAAGTCTAACTTATGTTCTGCTAAACCTTCCTAAATAGGGTAGGGAACGTGGGCGTCAGAAAGCCCACCGTGTAGTTTCCACGCTTACTTGTGAGCAAATAAATGCTCTTTTGCAGAGGTATTTCTCTGCTGCTCTTGGGTGTGTGCCTGCAGTTTGCATGGCTGTATCCTGCTGTGCTAGTGAGGTGGTGGTGTGGGTCTTAGTATGGGCCATGGAAGTCTGGGATTCCTGGGAACAAGCTCCATAGGTGAATTGTGCACTCCGCACTGTCAGAAGCAGAATTAGCAGGCCCCAGGCTGGCTGAGATCTACATGCACGATTCCCCAGTGCCTCCGCTCACGCTGTTGCCAGACGGGGTGATCTGGGATTTGGGGGATGTGTTTCACTCGGATACGAGCCAGCTCTGGAATGCAAGCGCATGTCTCTAGCAGGTCTGAAGGGAAGCAGACGGGACGTCGGGGAAGGAGCACATCTCTGAAGGAGAGGCAGCCAGTGAGGCCGCAGAACGAGAGAGCCAACAGCCTGGACAATGAACGCTCTCCAGACACCCGGCACCACTTACAGGTGGGAAAACAATGCTGTCACTCCAGCCATTCATAGTTTAAATTCTTCTCCAACTGTCTCCTGTGGTCCCTTTCCTTCTAGTCCAGGTGCAATCCCTGCTGGAAAGGAACTGGGCCCTGCGGCTTCAGGAATTTGTCTTGGCTGATGGTGTATCTTCCATCCAGTCTGATGGGTTGTGCCTGCTTGTTGCTTGGTCAGCCTGCCGTGAGCCGAAAACACCGCAACAGATTGTTGTGATGAGAAAAGAATAGGGATGTGTGGAGGAACTTGAAATAAGGCAAATTGCTAGGGATTGCGAAAGGGGACTGACCTGTGCGTGGCGTCTGTGCCTTGCTGTTGTCAGCTGCGGGACTAGATTCCCTCCCTGAAGGGGATGGTTCAGTGATGTAAGTAAAAGTGCGTGGCAGAAGGAGTAATGGCCAACCGGACCAAGGTGGAGCCTGTGGAATACTGCAGCGGTGAAGGAGCTGACAGGCGTCAGTCATAGCAGCCAGCGCGGCTGGTAGCGTGGCTTTGGTGGGGTGACTGGGCACTCATCGGCCACACGCAGCCACCTCTTGGGAACTGCAGGAGATGGAGCTGGTGGCTTGACGATTAGAGCTGACATCTGTTCTCTTCTCCCTGTCTTTGTTTTCAGATCCCCAGGAAAACAGTGTACGACCAACTAAATCACATCCTGGTTTCTGATGACCAGCTGCCAGAAAACATTATTCTTGTCAATACTTCTGACTGGCAAGGCCAGGTAAGGGCGGGAGACGTTGCCTGAAGCACAGTTCTCCTCACTGTTCCTCCTCAGGAATGGACGGGCCTTGAGCTCTGCCGCTCACCAAGGAGGTTCTGCTGCTTGGTTGGAAGAGCAGTGGCGGTGCGTGGGGGCTGGCAGCATAGTGAGTGTCAGTGCCCACGCAGTGGATCTCGTTTGACCAGGAGATCTTGTGAAGCTCTGCCACCCGAGTCTTTCCACAGAGGTGGTTTTTTCTCTTCTACAAAACGCCATTCCTTCTGGTTAGCAGCATGCGGGGAATGGCTGGACGCTGGCACCCAAGAGCCTCCTTCTCAGCTGTGGTAGACTGGGACAGAGGAAGCAGGCAGAACTGACCTGTGGTTTAGGCTGGGATTTCTAGGCATGGGCGGCGAATGCAGGAGGAAATATTTCAGGTCAGCTCTGTTGCCTTGCACTCAGGCTTGTGATTCCTGACCGCAGGTATGTCACCCCACCTTGTCTGAGGGAGCAGGAGCTGTGTGAAGGAGAACCCAGAGCGGTGCTTTCTTATGCTGGTGGTTTGTTCTGGGTTCAGAACAAATTTTGCTCCTTTTGGAACCTTAGTCTGAGAAAGGAATAAAACACGAAGAGGACCAGAAAATATGTGCTGGGTGACTGTCGCCTGCAGAATTTGTGCCAGGCTCGTGGATTTATGTTGTCTGATTTGGCTTTCTGCTGCTGGAATAACTGGGATCTTGGTGTCTGAAAGAGCAACAATACCAGCTGAGCTACTGGTTCCCATTTCTCTGTACTTGGAAGACAGGGAAATGCCTTCTAGAGATGGACAGAAAGCATTGTAGGTTGTCTTGCAGGAATTTTAGCAGCTTGTGCCTGCAGTATCAGAGGACACAAAGGTGGCGTTGGGGGCGTATAGATCAGTGGTGCAGAATTTGAGAGCGTGAGACAATGGCTGAGTCTCATCAATATTATGTCCATGTGGTACCCGAGGCGTGTGTTTACTTGTTCCCTGTGTGGAGGGGGAACAGTCCCTCCTGAGGAATGTGTGTGGTGGTAACACCCTTCCCTTTTCTTAGTGCTCGAGACTGGGCAGAACGTCACATTTAAGTCTTTTTGAAGTCAGAGAGATGCAGCTGCAGTTCTAGAAGCAGGCGAGCAGGGAGCATCTGCTGTCTGGTACGCGGCCGGCGTGCTGCTGCCCTGCTCTCTGCGGCCTGCTCTTCCAGAGTTGTCGATGCTGCGTTTTGCATATAGTGTTGGTGTTCGTCAAGAAGGTGCAGTGTTCCCACTTTTTTTATAGGAAGAGCTTTCATTTGGCGGGGACACAGGGATATGAGGTATTTGGGAAGTAGCCATCCCACAGATTGGGCACGAGGAGGGTGCCCACACTTGGGTGTGACAATACCTAGGAGGCTGGAAGAGGCAGGTTTTCTTCTTGTGACAAACTGTACCAAAAATAAGGACTATAAAATGTTCTGTTCTCTCCTCAGTACCTATCAGATGTCTTGCAAAAGCATACCTTGCCAGTGGTCTGCACGTGCTCCTCGGCTGATATTCAGGCAGCTTTCAGCACTATTGTCTCCAGGATACAGAGATAGTAAGTTCTCGCCTCGTGTGTGTTGTTTGAGTCACTCGGCTCTGAAAGCCTCTCGGCTCTGCCCCAGTGCCCAGGGAGTTTTCCATCCAATAGCTGAGAAACGCTTCTCCTGAAGTCAGAGTTGTGTGGCTCTCCCGCACCCGCCAGCCCTGCGGAGTTGGAGCTGTTCTGTCCCCTGAGGGTGGGTACGAGTCTCCCTTCCTCGACGCCGGCGATTTTACAAGATTGTGCTCTGCCTCCTGGGTCAGAACTAATAACCAGTAAAGCATGCAAAGCTCATAGGTAGGTTTTGAGTTCTCGCTCCCTCCCCAGCAATTCCCAGGTTAATTCCTCAAGGCATTCCCTAGCTACCTGCTGTGTGGGTACCTGGGTGTGTTCTCCGTGTTTCTGGTACACCCTAACCTCGGTAGTTTTCAGCCCCTTAGATTATCCACACGTGTGAAAGAAGGGGCAAGGAGACCGGTTAAGAAAGTGCGGAACAACACTGCATTTTGTTAATGATGTTTTAAGCTGCTGATAGTCGTTGTGATATTGCCTGGTGTATTGAACAAGCTCTGTTCTTCTGCGGTTGTTATTAACCAATTCATCTCTTTTACTTGTTCTGAAATAGCTGGCTGGAAGCAGGATTATGAATGTGTTTCCTCTTTTTCTGTCTAGCTGTAACTGCAATTCGCAGCCTCCAAACCCAATTAAAATTGCGGTGGCCGGAGCCCAGAATTACCTCAGTGCTGTGTTGAGGCTCTTTGTAGAGCAGCTGTCTCACAAAACCCCAGACTGGCTCGGCTACATGAGGTTTTTGATCATCCCTCTAGGTAACTAAGGAACAATTTCTCTTCCTAGAAAGATGAACGGGTTAAGCGTAGCGTGTTCCCTCGGGAGAAGCTCTGCTGGAAGCTTTGGCTAGGTAGACGGCTGGTGAATGAGCCAAATGTCGTGCTGTCGTGGCGTCGTGCAACGCTTGTGTGGCTGCTGTGGCGTGAGTGAATTCCTGGTGCCGAAGTCTGTTGTAAACCTCTCGGGCGAAGGAAGGCATTGAGTGCTTCCTCCCCATGCAGGGTAACGTGAATGCACAGAATAACGTTCTGGAAGCCCTTTTCCTGGCTGAAATCTGAAATTCCTTGGGCACCCTGTTTCCCAAAGTGATAACTGTCCTGGCCTCCCTGAGGCTGACATAGAAAACGTTTATGGAGGAACAGGGGTTGAAAATCTTTAAAGGCTCTGAAACTGCTGAGAATTTAAATTATTCAAATTACATGTATCTTTTGACCTTTCCTTTATGCACTCTTCTCCTTGGGATTTTTCCCCCCTCGGTTTTCCAGCACCTTATCTCTGCCCTTCCAGCAGCTCAGCAAGCCTGGCTGGAAAGTTACCCAGGCTGGATCGCTTGTGCTGGGGGGAGCGGAGTGGCCTGGGCATAACGTGTGGGGTCCTTTGTAGGCAGAACCATGAGGAATGTTGTAGCAGGAGGCCTGGAAAGTTACCCAGGCTGGATCGCTTGCGCTGCAGGAAGCGGAGTGGCCCGGGCATAACGTGCGGGGTCCTTTGCAGGCAGAACCGTGAGGAATGTTGTAGCGGGAGGCCTTGGAAGCCAGGCGGTCACTGATGCGGGGACACCTGCGCAATGTTGGTGTCCTAAGGGTGTGATGCCAGAGGAGCTGCTCTAGCCTGAGGCTTGGCTTGTGTGAACAGAGCAGTATTTAGGTGGTGTAAGCAAAGGAAAACTTGAAAATCATTTTTTTTTGGGTTTTTTCCGGTGCTCTTGGTTTGGGAGCAGCTGGTGGCAGTTGCTGTAGGAGTCAGAAGAACCCATGAACAGTGGGGTTAGGCTGTCGATTCAGTGGTGGGTTAGCAGAAGTCAAAAAGGCAGAGGAAGGGGGATGGATCCTCTGTGAGGAAGGCATTTCGTTTCCAAAGTGGTTGGCAGGAGGAGACAGACCCCTTTAGAGGGTGTAAAAAAAAAAAAAAAAAAAAAACCCAACCAAAAAAAAAAAACCACACAAACCCAGAGAATAATTTCTGCAGGGGTAAATGTGCTTTGGATGAGAGTCTGTGTGACCGGGGACTTTGAATCCTCAGGTGCTGACCGTCTCCTGGCCTCAGAGGAAGAGTCCTGGCAGTCTGTAATGACCTGGAAATGTGAACACAAGATCTAGCTAGTGTGGTTTGGGGTTAGTTTTTTAATCTTAAAATTTTCTTTGGTAATTAAAAAAAAAAAAAAAACCCAAAAACCAAAACCAAAACAAAACAAGACATTTTTATAATGGGACTGCTTCAGAACTGTGAATAATCTTAAAATGTACTTTAAGTACAGAAGCTTCTCTAACAGGGCCTTCCCCTTAGAAGTCGGCCGTATTTCCTGCTGGAATCAAGTGCTGCTTTCTGGCCAGCTTTCGGGCAGCTCGTTAAAGGGACTGAGGAGCAACCTCTCTTTTTCTGACAATTAAAAAGCACCAAAGACAGGATGGTGACCAGGCCATAAACATCTGAAAGGGAAAGAACTTGCTGGGAGGCCTTGCATTTAGTACTTGTTTCCAGCGGCATCTGCCCTGTGCGATGCATTTTCCCTGCGTGCGGAAAAGCTGCTCCGGTGCTGTTCCCCGTGCACGGTTTGTAATCTCCCCTGCAAAGAAACGATGGGTCTGAAGGTAGCCATGGTCAGGAGGGTCCAGGGAAGAATTTAGGGCCCCAGTCTCTCATGACGTCGAGGGAAGCTCGGAGAGACCTTCTGCTTGAACCTTTCGGTCTGGAAACCCATGCCGGTTTGGAGGGCTGAGAAGAGACAGTGGATTTTCTTCCACCGTGAGCTTTACTGGAGGACAGTGAGTATAGTTAAGCAGCTGGGGTCTTCTTGGAAGGAGTTGTGGGGTTCCCAGTTGGTGACTCAACTGTTGCCATTTGGTATGGAGGAAGGATAAGAATAAGCTGATGAGGGGAGCTCCGTGGCCGCTTCGTGACTGATTGTAAATGTACAGGACTTGTGACTGGAAAGTGGGATCCTGGCACATCTTTCTCCTGTGTTGAAAGACTGGAGAGGTCGTTGCAGGAGCGGGTTGTCTCGTTTGGGGACTTGTGGGGCCTAAAATAACGGTGGCAAGTTTTTACCACCTCCTAGGGCAGAGTTTCTCACCTAAATGCCTTCCCTCTTCTGCTGAGTGTGAGTATGAAGTCAGATCTCCACCCGGGGCTGCAAGCTGGGGGCTGGACACGCAAGCTTTCTGCAAAGAGGTCTTTCCGTGCTCACAGAGGAGCCATAAGGCTTAGCTAGGGCAAGCAGGGATGCATATGCCAGCCTTCACTGGGGGCTGCCATCCTTGCCTCTGCCTTCTGTCTTAAATTACAGGTTATTTATTGGGCTTCTAGCCCTTCTCCACTGATTAAACAAGCCTCCCTGGGTTGTTTTTCCTGGTTGGGGACAGTTGCCTCTTCTCAGTGTTGCGGAACAGCCGTGGTGCGCTAATGGTGTTTGGAGGAAGGGGGACGACTGTTGGCAGAGGACCTGGCCACGGTGCAGCCCCTGGGCAGGCAGGGCTGCTGGGAAAGCCACTTGCAAAAATGAGGCCGAGATTGAGAGCCGTAGGGCTTCTGTCTTCCAAATCCTTTATTTCCTCAGCAGTTTCCCAGTCCTGTTTTCTTTGGCCTTTTACAATTTAATTTGTCAGGAGGGAAGGGGGAGGTGTCGCTGACAGATATGAGTGGTGGTGAGCACTTTCTCTGCTGGGAAGGCTGTTTGGATGCTTTTGTAGAGATAAGCTGGGCTGAAAGACGTGGTTAAAACTGAAGAAATTTATTTCTGGGGTGTCTAGTCTAGTTTTGATTTTTGGAATTTACTTCCTTAGGATAAACAACACACTTGTGTTCAGTGCTGTCATGTTTTCCTTTCTTTCTTAGGCTCTCATCCGGTGGCCAAGTATCTGGGGTCTGTAGATTACAGATACAACAACTTCTTCCAAGATCTAGCCTGGAGGGACCTGTTCAACAAACTTGAAGCACAGACCGCTGGTAAGACGATGTGTCTGGGTCTGGCCCGTGTGGGATAAAAGGCTTGAATGAGTAATTTCAGCAAAGGTCAAGTAAATACAAGAGGAAGCAGACCAATGTTTTTGTTCCTCTTTTCTCCTCGCTCCGCCACATTCCCTTTTCAGATGCTGACCTTTGTATGTTCTCCCGTGGTGGTTGGCAAACAGTTGTTGGCTCCCAGAGGCACTGGCTGCCTCTGGGTCACGCTGGCTTTACCTACCTCTCAGCTTCGTTCTTTGGTGGGAAGGTCTCGTTACCAAGTGCAGTGCATTGCTTTCTTTGGCCCTTCAGAAACTCTCCAGCGTCAAAGGTTCGGGAAACCGGAAACTCGGAGAAGATTAACTTCTATTATTTGTGCACGAGAATGACCTTGACATTTCTGAAGTCTGCTGGCAGGATATTTCTCATTAAAAAAGAATTTTGTTCTTTGCCAGTGTTTTAACATGTGGGAGCTGCCCTTGGTCAGCTCAACAAGTTCCTGTTCTGATCCGAGTGTTCTAGGCCAGGAGAAAGCCTTTCGGTGTGTTAAAGCACTGATTTGCTTAAAATATTAATGCTTGCGGTTTCTCCATCCGTTCTTTCAAGAACAGGAAGAACAGGAGAAAAGAGGATTTGCATCTGACATTTAGGTCTACGTGAAGGCTTGAGACTTGGCTGAGGAGTGATGCTCTCGTGGCAGCATATCCCACACAGAAATTTCACTAGAAGGAAAAAGCTTTGGAGTTCTTTGGAGCACCGTGAGGGTGGGGAGGATGCAGTGTGATCCTCCTGTTGGAATTGCAGAGTGCCTGAGGCTCCTAGGATGCTCCTGGAAGTCCTCTAGCCATGGGAGGAGGAGAGACACCTTTTCACAGGTAATTGTTCAGAGCCTCTTCCGGCTGATGGGAATTTGGCTGGACAAGGCCCTGGGCTGCCTGTTCTGAAGGTGAAGTTAGCCCTGCTTGGAGCAGGAGGCTGGACCAGGGATCACCCAGTGGGCCACCCAGCTTATGCTCTTCCTTGATTCCAAGCTCGTGGAGGAACAGGTGTCTGGAACTGGTTTATTTAATCGCTTGCTGCACTTGAAAATGCAGACAAATGTCAATACAGACTTGATTTTTCTGTCTGGGTTAGGAATACCCATTAGGCATAGAAATCCAGCTCAAGCGCCATATCTCTTCGTTAGTCGGTCGTGTGCTGCAGCCCTTATTTATTTGCCTGCATGCTGCGAGGAAAATGCAGCCTGATTTTTGTGCAGTCCAGACCTCGTAGATTGGCCATTTGTGCAGTTCTCAGGGCACAGAAACCCCATGATGGCATAAGAAGACCTGGCAGAGAATCCTACCTCTTCACATGTCACCGAGGTACAGCGAACCTGGGTTGAAATGCCCGGGAAGGCGTGGAAGTGCCTGCGGAGGGTCGCTTGCCTTCCCTTGGTCTCACGCTTGAGGCCTGACCCAAGAAACACGGAAGGCATTCAGGCAACATCATCCTGTCAGCTGGAATCAGACGCAGTGTGAGATCTGAAGCTGCTGCACGCGTTTCCGACCCTGGCTTGGCTCTCGGTTGTTTCGGTTCACTCGGTGACAAATGGGACAACTCGAATGCTGGTGTGAGGGGAGCAGCTCGCCGGGGCCCTGCGCGAGGTCGCTCAGGGCCGGGTACCCCTTTTCAAAGGAAAGCAGTTGAAGAACTATGAAATAACCACACTACCTCAGCGTGCAGGTGTCTGTCCTGGTGTTCTAACCTCGGTGCTCTCGTAGGATGTGTGCTTTTGGTCACAGCGCGGGTGGCTGGGTGCCGTCAGCCGCTTGGCTGAGCCAACGGAGGACAGTGCCGGTGCTGGTCCGAGAAGTTACTTCAGGTATTTTTCCCTTGGTTCTGTTGCAGTTCCAGAAGCACCCGACGTCGTCTCCCGGATAACGCAGTACATAGCAGGGGCAAACTGCGCGCACCAGTTGCCCATCGCCGAAGCGATGCTGACGTACAAGCAGAAAAGGTACGTCGCTGACGTGATGCTGGCTTTCCGGAGCGAGCACCGGGTTGAAAGCCAAGTGCTTTTCTCACCTCGTGCGCCAGCGGTCTTTAAAATCGCTCCGAACTGCAAACGCCTCGGGAGCCTCACGGTAGCCTGCAGCCAGCGATGTGTCCCCCTTAGGTAACGGTGGGTCTGCGGCAGTGCTTACTTAAGTGATCTCTTTGAAGATCTGAGAGGTGTGAGGAGGTGGGAATTACACCTGCTTAGGTTCCAGAGATCTCTTACCAGGGAGTCCTCTCCCTTCCCACAGAAAACAATGGGTGTGTAAGCCTGGACTGCGGCATTCCACTCCCCGGAGTATCTTCCATGAGACCTGCCCTTTTTACATCAGGGTTGAGGAAACCAAAGCCCTTTCTTTTTGGAGTGTAAATAGCAGAATTTCTGGGAGGAGAGACAAAATCCTTGTTGATTGGCAGTTGCAGGCTACCAGGGCTCCTGCTGGAGAGGGCTGACGTTCGCCAGGTTTTATTTCAACGTCCCTTAAGGGATAAGCAGCCTGTAGGGAGGGAGGGTGGGGCTCTGAAATCAAGATTCAGAAGTATGTAGAGCCTCCTGTGGCTGTGGTCCAGGAAGAAGAGTAACTGCCCCTGAAGGGTAGAGGTGCATTGTGTCTCAGAAATGAGGCTCAGAGGAGAAGAATGGACTCCACCTCACCTCCCAGTAATATCTGAAAGCAGGACAAACACTCATCTGATTTTTCTCCACTGGGGGCTAGCAATCTCCTGTGAGGTGTGGATGATGTCAATTGTTAATTACTACCCTTCCCATGTTATACCTGATCTTGCATTTTTGGTCAGTTAACATCCCTCTTTGGTGCCTCCTTTGCATAAGAGCTGGGAGGAATTAAAGGTGTGGGTAGAGTTCCTTTATTTCCTTCTTTTTGGAAATGCTCATGGTATATTGCTTTTTCCATTCCCGTGTCTGCCCTATATTGCTTTGCAGAAATGATCCAGTCAAATTTAGCCCATTCCTCATGGTCTCCTAGGAAAACTATGTCCAGACTGACTGTTAAAGTTAAAAAGAGTGCCCTCTCTTCATGTACTTGTGAACTTGTGTGATGTTCACCTGATAAAGGCGAAGTTTGGAGAGTCGCAGGGAACCAGAAGCTCTTAGCTTCAACCTTTTATTTTGGTTGACGACTTACCCGAGTTGCTCATACGGAGTCCGGACACCCCCCGTGCGGTGTGAACCCCTTCCGATGGCTGCCTTGTTCTTTCTCTGCACCCGTCGGTTGCTGGGTTCTGCACTCCTCCGCCGCCTTCTCCATCTTGTTACAGGTTCATTTTTGTCATTACCACACATTTAATTGTTTCTGATGTGCCCAGAAAGGTCAGTTTGGTGTGCACGACCGCTTCACTGAGCTGGTCCGATCCATTTGGGTTTTAAACCCTTTGGACTGGGCGGTACCGTGCCTGAAGCTGTTGACAGGTTTAAATGGGGCTCAAACCCTGCAGAAGGTCACTTGGGAGAGAGATTGCCAGGACTTCAGTCACGCTGGTGGCATCGCCTGCAGTCTGTTAGCATCTCTGTTGTGTAAAATCACTTCTGCTTTCAGCCAAGTACCCGGTGAGTGAGTTAGAGGAACAAGCTCTCCCATGGAGTGATGGGCCATGGTCTCCCCGTGTGGATTTCGCTAGAAATGCAGCTCTCTAGTTGGCAGCAACTTAGGGCATTGTGAAAAAGAGTGCTAATGAAAACACAATTTCTGTCTAAATGAATGCATGGCTTTGTTGTAAGTATAATAACGTATTTATCTTTCTCTTTGGTTGCTTTCTGAAAAGGAAAAAGAGCTTTCATTTTGATTTTACCATAAGGTATCGGTTCCTTTTAGGTTCCCTCTCCCATCTCCTCTCTCTTTTCCCCCGTGAACTGGTCTTTTGTGCCTTGTTTAACAGTTCCTGCAGGTCTGGGATGCACGGTCTATGCCTTAGGTTAAATTCTGCTCGCTGCTTTGAAACCATGGCATCTGCTGGCAGAACGCGTTGTTGGAAATGACTGCTCTGCCTTTGGACCACACGTACGGGTTCCCAGGATGGAGACTGAATGGGAATGAGGGGTTACTGGGAGAGAAGCTTTGAGCAGTAGAACACAGAGAAGGTTGGGGTTTTTCTTCCCTTTTTCCTAGCTGCCAAAGGTTGTAGCGTAGCTCCGAAAGGATCAGGACTGAGCGAAGGCCTTTCAGTTCCCATTTGCTGGAACTGGAGTGCTGTAGGTGGCACTCGGTGGCTCAGGGTGGGGTTCAGCTGGGCAGTGTCCGAGCGCAGACCAGCAAAGCTTCTCCCTGTAATTAAAAAAACCCAAGGACTAGTCTTACTGGCAGGCTGTCCCAAACACACAGGACTTTCTGAGCTGAAGAAGGAGATAGATGTATGCTAGCAGTGGAGTTGTGCTCTCTGAGCTGCCTCCAAGACCCCTTTGCTCTGCAGGATCCCCTGCTTCGAATCGCAGGATTATTGGGCATGGTTTATTTTGTCCTCAGTTCACAAAGTTACTACAGCTCTTTTGAGGCCAGGGGTGAACAGATTCTCCAAGGCCAGCTTCCAAGGCAGTGGTCCTTGTAGAAAAAGCAGTGCTACCTACAAATTCATTGCAAGACAGCTCCCAGTACCCTGGCATTTGCTCTGTTAAACAAGCCCTGATGGTCCAAGGAAAGCCAGGCCGGTCTTTAGGATGTAGCTGTATGTGATGAGCTGCTTTATAACTTTATTGCCAGCTATCCCTATTTCGACCTCCTCCGCCCTCCTTCCCGGCCCCTCGTTCTGTTTGTCATGGCACCAGGTTGGCGCATGTACTGCCTGCGACGGACTGCAAGGGTGCGAACGCTTTGTCCCGTTCTTTTGGAGCATCTGCTGACCTTACCTGAAATCAAGGGGGCTGGCAGTGAGGAAGGGGTTCAGGAAGGAAGTAAATTGCCGTTCCAGCTCCTCTGCGTTACACGGGGTGACTGTGAGCACTGGGAGACGCACTGGTTGCTGAATTGTCAAGAAACACTGCAGTCCAGGCAACATCCGGGCAGCTGAGACCATGGTGGCAGGGGTTGGCCTCTCCCTAGGAGGGGTGTAGCGTCAACACCGGCCTCTCTGCGTTGCTTTCTTGAGTGACACGGTGCGGTACCCGAGATCTGCGTCGCTTGCTTGTCAGGGCGAGGGCTGGGTCATTTCCTAGCTACACATCTACCAGCAGCTCTTCGCTCGTCTGTGGTGGAGCGCTTCCCCAGCTCTGGCCCCTGGAGCACACGTACCGTGTCTTGGAGGGTCCCTGGGCAGTAGGCAGCAGGGGTGACGCGTTTTCTGCCTGCTGCGTGTCTCTCAGCCCCGGTGGTGTCCCCCAGTGCGGCTTCTGAAACGCGCCCTGCAGCAGGTGCCGAACGTGATCGCGGCTGGGGAGGATGGGTTTGGTCCTGCCTCTGGCTCAGCAATGCCCCGCACTCTGGCCGGTTGCTGCACGAACCTCCGTGGGCAGCTGGTGGAAAGGGCAGCAGGAGTTGGCTTGTGCCCCTGGCCTGGCAGAGCAGAGCAGCAGAGGAGAGTCAAGGCTGAAGAAACACCACGTGTGCTGTCGGGTCTGCCCAGCCCGCTGCAGGAACATGACGGATGCTGCACAGGAGTTTCATGGGGAAGCAGAGGGGCAGCTCGGCTGCGTCGTGGGGACCCGGAGCTGCCTTGTCCCTTGGGTTTGACCGCTGCAGACTTGGTGGAACAGGGACGGTGTTGGCCAGCAGACAGCTGCAGTCGCCCAGTGGGAAGGACAGATGCTTCGCACCAAAGATGTACCTGGGAGAGTCGGTGGCAGTGCCAGGCCTGAAAGGGCTTAGAGGCCTGCCAGTCCTTTGGGGATACAAGTCCCCTCTTTCCTTTGTGCCTTGCAGGACTTGCCTGGAATAAAGGTAGTACTTAAGACCCTCCTGCTTGGAGATCACGGGTGTTTGGCTCCATTTGAATCTGGTTTGGGTTGCTTCAGTTTTAAATGACACCTTACTAAAAGGTTAATAGCTGGCGTAAATGCTCTCAGCGATTATTCAGTCCCTCTCTCCGCCGCATCCGAGCGCTTTGCAGCTTAGTTTGTGCTAAGAAGTGAGATTGTGCTAAGAAGTGAGAAGTGAGATTCCTTCCCTTTGTCAGGTGGGTGACTCCTGGTGATGTGACGGCTTCTACGTTTGTAGAGTCCTAGAACAGAGAAATCTGGCTACATGTCTTTGTTCAACCTGAATTGATTTTTGTGGTTGAGAGGGACCCTGCAAGTCCATTTCTGGGCAGTTTCCCTTTGAAGGACTCTGCAGGTGGATGAATTTTGCCCAAGCAAAGATTAAAAATTTTCTTTCTAGCCTCTGCATAGGCCTGTGTTTTGTTTTTCCACAGGATTTGTGTTTTGGTTTGCTGTCCCCTCGCCCCAGAATTAAAGAGGTGAAGGATAAATAACACTAAAAATAACAAACCAGCATCAGGTCTGGCTTTGATTTATGGCTGAGATGCCAGGGCCTTCAGGATCCCTATGGATACAGCCAACACTTTGGACATCTCTATGGGTGTAAAACTTCTGCAACCTGGGAATCCACGGAGCTTAGGTAATACGGAGGAGCTGCCTTTCCAGGGACGGGATATTTTAGTTGCAGGGCTGTGATGGGCGGAATAGAAGAGCCCGTTACCAAGGTGAAAGGATTCCGCATGAATATTTTGGGGTCCTGAAGGACAGGAATCGGGAAAGAGGAAGTGGAGAACAACATGGTCATCTCGTCTTTCCTTCCATCCCCATGAAGAGCATCTGGTTTGATAAGCTGCGTTATCAGAGGCACATGTGCAGGATCAGGGTTCCCGAGAGGACGTGTGACAGGACTAGACTAGCCAAGCTGAAATCCAGCTGGATTGCTTCAGGAACAATCTGCTCGTGGTTGTGAGCTGTGATAAATGGTGACTGAAGCAAATGATTTATTTTGGAATTGCCCCTGAGCTCTTCTCAGT